GTGCATAATTGGTAGAAAGACCAAAAAGACTCCACTCTTCAAAATTGAGGGAGCAAAAATGGGTATTTAACCTTTCTGTTAAAAAAAAAAAAAAAACCCCACGGTGGCCTCTTGCCATTCACCATTCTTTTCTCTTTTCTTTTCTTTTTTTTCGCCTAATTTCTTTGTCATACTATTCATCTCTGGGTCTGAGGCCTCTTTGGAAAATATTATCTACGTATCAAAAAACTTCTGAAGCAATTTGAGATCGGTTCATGGCCGTTCCACAAAAGAGTTCCCAAGATCAGAGATCCAACACATAGACTTGAGAGAAGACGAGCAATGCTAAAGTGTGGTAGCGATTAAATGGCCAGCCTGAAACTTCAACCAATCTCTTCAGAAATTGGAAGAACTCAAAACTTTGATCTCTTATAGACCATGCTGTCATCCACTGCACCCGGAAGGGGATCATGTCAAATTCATCCCTCAACCTTCTTCCCAAGTCTAGCATGTGGCCAGCCCCATACACTATGGCAATCTTATTGTGGCCCCTCGTGAATTTCCCTTCTATGTGCTTCTGTTGCAGCTCTGTTCCTCTCACCGATGATTGTGGATTTGTCTTCTACTTCTGCACGAGCTGCTAGTCTTAAACTTTCACAAATCACGCCTCTATAAGTTCTATAATCAACAAGATGAATTTAATAGATAAAATAACTTTCATTAGTTACCATCAGTTATGCCAGAGGTATTATAGAAAAACACCAAGTTGACGCTCAATACCATGTCAAATTTAAAGAAACAGCACCAACCAAAATTGGTCCTGTTTAACCCAAAGGAAAGCTGGACCCAGGAAAGAACTTGAAAACTAGGAGTCTAAATGTTATGGAACATGTTTATCATGTCAATAAATTTAGTATTTACCCAACAACAGCTTACTAACATAAAAAATGATGACTTAATAAGATTTGACTTTTGGCCAAGAAGGAAATGTGACAGCAGAGGAGCTACTCCTTATCAGAGCCAGGTTTCGATCCTGGGATCTGTGGGTTATGGGCCCACCACACTTCCGCTGCACCACTCTGATTTATTATTGATTGCGTCATACTAAGAAAGTATCATCATGTCACAAATGGAATGGGCAGGCAAGATCTTTCAAGTTTCTTATAAAGCAAATGGAGGGCATAAGCAAGTATATCCTTGTTGTAAAAACCCACTGAACTATTAAGCCAGTCTAGTTTAGGTTTTATACATTTATGACACACAACCAACCAACAAGCATAGAGATCATAAACCAAAATAACAATTGATGATGCAGATATCATAAAGGAGACAATAGTTATCATGTCTTAAAAGTAACAATGCTTACTCAGAGGAAGTGAGACTCATTGCCAGCAAAATCTTCAGGGCAGCACCAAAGTCAAGCCTAGAAAAAGCTTCTTGATCTGGGTATTCGGATGCTTGACTTTGCATATCTGCAGACACCTCCAATAATTATAAGAATTACAAAGTGGCAAAGGAAGTACACATGAAACCCACAGAAGCTTGGATCCCCAAGTATTAAGGTCACCTTGAATTGAAGCAGGTTGTGCCATTAATATTGTTGACCTATGATTCATATCCCTCACAAACATCAAGAAATTTTCACCCTTTTCAAACTGAAAAGATGCAAACGCAACATTAGATATGGTATCAGATTTCAGTAAAGAACATATTACTAGATGCAGTCATGTACAATTAAAATGTAGAAAATAGATATTTATCTAATCTGAAAGAACAATGATGAAACCATAAAAAATCTAGATTTGCTGCCTTGAGATAATCAAGAATAACCAATTCTACAAACAGCTATTTTGATAAGGCACAATGGTGATGGTGTTCCAGACATGTTTCATGGACAGGTCAATTGGGTGCAGGGAGCAACTAAGAATTTTTTTTATGTCCAGGGGACCACAAATGTCAGAGTAGACCAAGTCTAGCTTGTTCTCCTTCCGAGTCAAATTCTTCTGAAAAGAAACTTGGTGTTGCTTTCCAAATAGGCAAACATCACAAGGATTCACATGTCCACCTTTGGCAATGGGAACAAGGGACTGCTTAGCCAAAAGTTGCAATCCTTTCTCACTCATGTGAGCTAATCTTTTATGCCATAAATTTGGAGAAGCCTCATCTTCAACTGTGTTCAGTTGAGCTCCACACATTTTCATGTGTGTCTTGTATAATGAGCAACATGCTCTTCCTTTTGCCACCACCAATGATCCTTTAGTGAGTTTCCAGCTACCATTCCCAAAGTAGTGTGTGTATCCTTCTTCATCCAGTGCTTTTGCAGACAACAGATTCATACGCATATCGGGAACATGTTGCACATTTTTCAGTGTTCATGTGCATCCAACATTTGTCTGGACACAGATATCACCAACTCCCATAATATAGGAAACACTATTGTTTCCCATTTTTATGGTGCCAAAGTCTCCTGCTTTGTATGTTGAAAAATATTCTCTTTTGGGAACACAATGATAAGAGGCATCAGAATCAATTATCCACTCAGCATCTAAGTTTTCTACATGGCAGCACTCCCCACGATCGCATAGTAGAGTCACGTTACTGCCACTGGTAGATGCTACAGTGGTTGTATTGCTATCTTCAACCTTTTTCTTGTCTTTTCCTTTCAACAAGTAGCAATTCCTTTTCATGTGGCCTAGTT